TGGGTATGAATGATGGAACACGTCAATGTCAATGTCAGAAACAGTTTGAATACGATAATCCTAGGCGCCGATGTCGTAAGTATATTTGTTTATATATCGATTTTCACATTGAATTAGTCGTTATTTTTTTCTTGAACAATTTTATTAACTAAAAAAAAAATATTTCATAAAACACATTAAAAATCATACGAAAGAGAATATTACTTAGATAAAATAAAAATTGATAATAAATCGACTTGTACACATTTTCTCTTTTGATGTTCAAAATTCGCTCTAAAAAAGACATGGTTTTATTAAAGGTGGTGATTATCAAGCTCCGTGTGAAAGTAATATCGATTGTCGAGCAAATCTTGTGTGTAATAAAACAATAACACCATCCGTTTGTTCATGTGAATCACATTATCAATACCATCCATCAGTACGTAAATGTCGTGGTGATCCAGGTGCTGTATGTGATCGAGCTACAGCTGAATGTGTTGATAATGCTGAATGTCGTGATGGAGCATGTGAATGTTCACATCAATTTGTACCTGATGATAATAAAATATGTGGTATGTAGATTGATAAAATATTTTTGAATCGAGAATATCGAGCTTCTTTTGTTTTTTTACTTCGATTGATTTAGTTGATCCATGTCCATCACAAGTACCAAATCCTGCACGAATTCGTTATCCGGGTAATTGTCGACGATTTATTGATTGTCAACAAAAGTAAGAAATAATGAAAAAATATTAAGTTTTATCAATTCTTTGTTTTTCTGGTTATATTAGATCGAAAACTGAATGTCCAGAAATGACAATATTCAATTTACGTACTCAACTTTGTGACTATCCTAAAAATGTGTTTGACTGTCGATAAGAAAAAAAGAATTTTTCTTCTGCTTCTAGTATTATTTATTTATTTTTCTGTATGACAAATGAATTTGTCAAATTTTTTAAAGAGTTTCATTTTCTTTTCTTATGTTGTTCATATCAATTCAACAACACATTTTTGTCAAATTTTACGATACACACAAGAAAATAGCTTTTAAATAGAATCATGTTGATATATATTTCTCAAATTGAAAAATGAATCAGTAGACTTAATATAAAAAAGTTCAAACTTAAAATAAAGTCTATCGAATAATATCTATGTCTGATTGATTCGATCGTTCATATTGATAGCTTTGATAGTCTTTCAGTTCGTGTTTCTTTTAATCAAAATACAAAAAGTTTTCTTTTGTACTTTTAATTACTTTTTTTTGAATGAAGTTAATCAGAATAAAGTTCACTTATGTCTTCATAATAAAATGTATAAAGTACAGCTTCTTTCGAAGCAATTTAAATTTTTTGAAAAAGATTATTGAATTTCAAAAAGCTTTTTAAACAGTAGATTTCTTTTTTAATAATTTGCTCAAATCAAACAAAAAAATATATTTGAGTTTGACACTTGTGCGGCGTTCTTGACAGCAGTGAACAAGTTGTTCAGAACTTGTATTTATGTAATGTAAGAAGAAAAAAAAAAGTACTGAAGCTGCGCTTATTCTCCCTTGAAGAGTAATGTCACTCGTCACTAATGTCCTTAAGCATAGCCCTCGAATTGATGACAATGGCATTCAAAGATTCTTTCAACATGTTCTTAAGTTTCGCTTCACTATACTTATTGAAATGTCGTTATGTACCTTTTGAAATAATTTGTCTTAAATTAATTTTGTGAAATAAAATACTTTCGTCTGAAAGAAAATGACACGTAGGATCAGACAATCTTTTGCTTTGCGAGATATAATACCATTATAATCCTAAAGATTTTGAACTAGTTCAACATAGTTTATCATATCTCGAAAGTATGATCTTGTTGATTTCTTATAAAAAGAAAAACAGACATAGTGCATATTTACAAAACGTGTTTGGACATTATTTTATTCATTGTAGAGCTTGGTTGAGCAGAATCATGTGCAGCGTATTATAAATAACATGTGGTTACTTCTTGCAAGTGACTTTGTAATAAGATGGCGGAATCACCAATAATAACAAGAAGATGTACATAACGACGAAAAAAGCATTTTCTATTCTGTAAATAATAATCTAGACGACTATAATACACGGCAAGTTCGCACGTTCATTGATTATCCAATAATGATAACTTGATAATAGTCTATTCATAAAGATTTTTAGCTTGAGACGGATCATCAATGTAGTGCACATGAACTACATATGAAATGAATTCATCATATTGATGATCATGCAGTTTCAATAATTCTTTCCAGCGTTCATAACAAAGCAGAGAGAGTATGTTGTTTATCATAAGCAATATTCTTTTCAATATGAAATAATATTTATCTAAATAAATGAAAATAAATCTTTTATAAACTTCATTTTGTCATCAACAAACAGACACTGCAAGCTATTTTCTTATTGAATTATATTCAGTCAATGAATTTTATACTAGAAAAATGAACAAATATTTCTATAATTAGTTCGACAAATGCAATTACCTTATCATCTTTAAAAATACAATTTCGAACAACTATTTCAATGTTAAGATCATATTCAATTTTGAAGATCAATAGATTTAAATAAAATGTTATCATTATCATTGACATAACGTTATTCGTCTAACTAACGTTAAGTGTACCAAAAAGTTGATTAGTCTCGACATAGGCATTAAAAGTTGTCATTTTCTGTTACGATGATCTCAAAAAGTGAAAGTGAGAAATTACTCCTTCAAATGCGAAAATGAAATCTCATAATTGATTCTATAGCATTCGTTTTCTGTTTTTTAATATGACGTTCCATTTTCCTATAGAAAGTCACCCAAAAAGACAAGCTTTATGAACTTGATTTTTTTTTTCAAGCTTCGAGATTACTAAGACGAAGATTGTAATAAACATTGGCCGTTTCTCACTTTGCTTGTGGCTAAGACAGCTGTGAATACAGCTGAAGATCGATAATGAATCAGAGAGAGTATTCTTTAAAATCATGTTTCTATCCGTTAATAGAGTTTTCTCACCAAAGAATTTTGACTATAGCAACTTCACAGTTCCTTTCTCACTTCGATCATCTGATTGGTCGAAACGCAACTTTTCCGATTTACAGCAGTAAAAAGAGAAACCTTGATTCTAGAATAGCGTGATTATCTTTTGGAGAAAAACGTTTAGCATTGAATCATCCAAACGATTATTCGTCCCTTAGAAAATATCAATTTATCCGTCAACCGACATTGGAAGCTTTGCACTATGATTTACAATTGAGTGGAATTCGAATGCCATCCTCAAACAGAATGAGAATTAATTGCAGGAAAAAAGAAACAATTTAGTTCTCGTAATTGTACTTTTGTTGAAGAACATGTCAAAAACTTTGTTACATCATAAGAGAAAATTCGAAACTCTATCGAACATCGGACAGAGGATACAGATTTGAAAACAAATTCAGATAGAAGTCTTTTTTTTAAGTGAACACTCTAAATATATCTTCATCATTTGCATTAATACATATTAAAAGAATTTTTAATTGATAAGAATATTCATCAAATAATTATCGATAACGTGAGATATTCTTGAAGAGAATTATTCTAATTATAAAATAAATGCTGAACATTTAATATTATACTAAATAAATTTCAGTTAAGCAGTTAACAAGTTGTATGTCTCAATAATAGCATGCACTTTAAAACTAAAATGATGTCTGAATTTTTGTATTTGCTTAAATTTTGCTTAGAGCAAAAAAAATTAACTGAAACGTACTTTTCTTTACAGAGATTTGTTTATGAAAATTTAGTCGACATAAATTTTGTACAACAGAAAGCTTCACAGTTTTAATTATCAAATTAGTTTCGAGCAAATATTTGAATTAACTACATCTGTATATTTTTTTTAGTTCCAGAATAGTTTTCTCTGCCGTAGTTGATCGTGTTCTAATCGTTTGTGACAGAAGGGATACACGAAGTAATAAGATTTTCGAACTATTGATATTCGAGTTTTAAAAAGCAATATTCTGCCATACACAAATGATAATAATCATGCTGGACTATGTTTTTTGTGTGTAGCAAGCGCTGATATAATTGTTTACAGAATATGTAAAAATCAGCTTACGACAGAAGTACTCGAAGTGTCCAGTTCCGTTTTGACTCATTCGTATCTCATTCGATAGAGTATATTGAGGTAAGAAAAAGCTTATAAGAGTTCAAGCCTATGGTGTACTGCCGAAGAGTTATGGTCGTTTTATTGAAGTTTTTACTGAAAATAAGGTATTTCGGAAAAACCAAAATGAAAAATTTTTTATCTGAAATATTTTCTAGAGATAAATTTAATAGTCATTAGATGCTACCGAAAGTTTTAAAGAAAATGAACATGTCCTTCTCGAAGTATTCAATTTTGAAAGACAAACTGCGGTTTACCATAGATGGACAAAATAATCCATTCTATTTGGAAATTAATTATCTCGAGAAAGACATATTCGTTTTCATTGAAACTTTCAGAACTATCTAATGACTATTAAATCAATCTATAGGCAAAATTTCCGATCAAAACTCTTCGCTATAGGCCATGGACTCGAATCCTTTTAGACTTTTTCTTATCTCACTATGTTCTATTGAATGAGATACGAACGAATCAAAGCGGAACTAAACGCCTTGCATACTTCCTCTCGTTAGCCAAAATGTTGATTTATTTCTCAACAGCGACAAGTGCATAAATAGTAACTGACAAAATATTTCGTTTTAAAAAAGAGATCACATTCTAGCTAACAAACAACACGAATGAGCAGTTCTATCACATTCTATTCAAGTACGGTTGAGTCTAACATTTGTTTAAGAATTTTAGAAACACTCGTTACTATGTATCTATCAATAATCAGTGATATTTTCAACTAACGTCATCTTTTGACAGAAACAATGAATGAATTTTTCTATTGACCAATTGTAGAATTAACTTCTTTCATATTCTATCAATTTACTAATTTTATTTCTTTTTATTAAGAATTTTTATTATCATTCAAAATCAATATTTAATTTCTCTTTTTTAGATGGTAAATCCACCTATTTCTAAATCTAATGAACAACGTAATGATGATCTTATTTTTTCATATTTAACTAAAATTGAAGATTTTATCATGTAAGAATTTTCTCATTCTATTCTTTTGATATATTCTTTTCTTTTTTCTTATTTCAAAATTAATAGAACTGATAAACAACGTTCTGAAACATTTGCTAATTATGTTAAACATTTTGCTGATTTAAAATGTTCATTATTACCATCATCATTTAATACAGTTACACCACTTTCAATACATATACATGGTTTTGAACCTGAACAAATTTATCAACAACTTAAATCAATTAATGAAACTCGATTTAAATCATTTCTAGCAACTATTGTTAAAAATAAAACAAAACAAAAAACATTTGGTAATTTACTTCGATCACCATCACCAGAAAAACCATCATTAATTGAAGAAAATATTAAACAAGAAGAAGAAGAAAATAATAATGAAGATTTATCAATATCAACAAAAAAAAATTCAAAAAAAAAGAAAAAATCTGTGACGTATGAAAATTGAATAAATATTTATTTGATTTAAATATAATTCTATTTTTTTAGATTTTTTGATTCAAATGCTTTAAATAAATTTCTTAATGAACAAGATTTTCAAGAAATATCAAAGTAATTTTTCTAGAAAAATAATAGAAACATATCTGTGTTTATTTAGATCAAATCGAAAGATAAATGAAGACGATGATGATCTTGAAGACGATGACGATGATGATGATGATGATGATGATCTATCTCTTGATGAAGAAAATGTAAACCTCAAATATAAAATATTCTAACAAATAAATATTCAAATCATCTATTTAGGAAGATGCAACTTATGATGAATTTTTCGATCCACCAACTGAAACTAAACAAAAAAAGAAAAAGAAAAAAGAAAAAATTGAAACGTATGTATCATTTTTAATATTACTTATCTATATTAAATTTCTTATACATTTATTTATAGAGAAAATAATCACGTTGACATTGATCAAGACGAAGAAAATAAAGAAGAGGATGATGATGAAGATATTGATCTTGAAAATAAATCAGAATTTGAAAAACAACAAATTCACGTAAAGATCATTTTAAAATTTCTTATACATCTATTTAATTAATTTTAGTTAAAACGTCAAATAAAATCAATTGAAAAAGATATGTTAAGTACTAAATCATGGCAATTAACTGGAGAAATCGAAGGTCATAAACGACCAGAAAATAGTTTACTTGAAGAATATTTACAATATGATCGAACTACTCGATTACGTATATAGATAAATAGACTCATCATATGATTTATTTGATTTTTGTCTGTCTTCTAGCTCCGGTAATAACAACTGAAACAACAGATTCAATAGAAGATTTAATAAAACAACGTATACGTGATAAAGCATTTGATGATGTTGAACGTAAAAAGAAAACATTACATGATAATGAAGCTCAAGCATATAAAAAAGAAATTGTACTTGAACATGAAAAAAGTAAAATGAGTTTAGCACAAGTTTATGAACAGGAATATATGAAAAAACCAACAGTAACTAATTTATATAGATTACAATTTCATTTAATTATTTTTCTCTTTTTATTAGAATGATAAAACAGAAAAAAAAGATGAAAGACATGAAAATATTCGACAAATTATGCAAAATTTATTTATCGATCTCGATGCTTTATCTAATTTTAGATTTACACCAAAACCAGTATGAATTAAATATATTTTAATTAATTTTCTTTATAGAAACTTGTTTTTTTTTTTGTCGTCTTCTAGCCTGTACCTGAAGTAACAGTTATTAATAATTTACCAGCTATTTTAGTTGAAGAAGTTGTACCAACAACTGTTAATGATTCAACATTACTTGCACCAGAAGAAGTTCATGTAATTAAAACAAAAAACAAAAAAAGAATTGATTTTTTTAGTTTTTAAAAGATTTTATTTCTTTATTATTTTAGATAAGACCAAAAGGTGATATTAAAGCTGATAGTGAACGAACAGATACTGATAAAAAACATGCAAGACGTTTACTTAAACATAAACTTAAATTAAAATCAAAAACTCAACCAACGAAAACAAATCCTGAAGAACAAGAGAAAGGTAATAATGACAAAAAAAAAAAATAACAACAATAATAAAGAAATTTATTAAATCATATTTCTAGAAGAAAAACGAAATTTATTGAAGAAACTTGGTAAAATGAAGAATGTTCGAATTGAAAAAGTAAAAAACAAAAAAAGAATTTTCTTTTTTTAAAGTTTTTTAATGAAAAACTTTTTTTTATTTAATTTAAGACTGATAAAAAACGATCAAGTGAAAAAACAGCACGTAGTTCAACGAAATTCTTTCAACAACTTCAACAATCAACATTAATAACTCCAACAAAAAAACGTCATCATTCGGATAAAACAACAATTACAGATTCAAAACGATTAAAATTATAAAACAAACGATTTGTTTCTCTTGTTTTTGTTTGTTATTCGCATTTCGTCGAATAAAATGAGAAAAAAAAAATATATATATATTCACTTGATCAAAAATCGTATAAAGATTATAAGTTGTAAATATAAAATGAAAGTGTTCATTGTGAAATTATAATTCAGCTCAATATGATGTGCAATTAACAGGTGGGATAGAATAAATGGCAGTGTGTTACTATTTTCACTCTATCGAGCTGCTATTTTTTCAAAGATTTTTCGTTCAATTTTTCTACAAAACGATATATGTCATAAGACAAATGTAACCTTTTCCATTTTCTAACAGATAATGAAAGTATCAAAGCAAGCGATGGCAACTTTCCAAAAAGGCAATTAGTGCAATCTCTACGGGATTAAAATGTGAAACACGATGTAGCTACTATTACTAATTACAGGAAGATTGTTTTATTCTATCTATTTTGATACACATTTCTTCATCATCCTTTTATTCAGTCTTCCAGACATGTAATAAGGAAGTACTTCATACACTATAACAAGGTGTTATTGATATACGATCTGTGAGAGAATGTCCATATTTCAACGTTCCTTTCAGATCATGATTCACAAAGATAGGTATTTTTTAAGCTTCCCACATCATCTTTCAATTGTCTGACTAGCTTGAATTTTGTTTTAACAAACCCTAGCACATTGCGTGAGCATTTTCAGCTCATATACAAAAAAAAAACAATTTTTGAGAAAGTTTCCATTACTGCCTCCAATACTTCCATTAATTATTAGAAATAAGGAAGGATTATGTTTGTCTTATAAATAATACCATTCTGTAGAGTACTGAAGAGAGAATCTTTGAAAAAAAAAGAATAACTCGATAGAATAAAAATTGAAAAACTATGGTCAAAATAGTGTGATCAGCATTTATTCTGTTGCATCCGTTACAAATGATTCATAGGAAACAAAAAAAAACGACTACATTTGACTCGTTGAAATTTTCTTCTCATAAAATCAAATTCAATATTTTGAATAACTTTACTATGAAAGGATAGTTTTATCTGAAAATTCAAGAATTTCTATTCAATTGATTTATTATGAAATACAAGTATGAATTTGAATTCTTTTATCTTTCAAAAAGGAAATGTAAGTTATATCGCAAATATTAAAGAAAGATTTAACAAACTTCTTTCTCTTTTTTTTTGTTATCAACTCCTATATATATTTTTTTCTTCAAACAATTGTTATCTTTTCTTTCATATTTTTAGATATCTTTTTTTCCTCTTTTTCTTTGTTCGATGTAAAGAATCGTTATCTCACAATTGAATATAAGTGTTGAGTCACGTTGTCTTTTAGTTTGTTTTCTTTTATTTTTTTTTATAAATTTCTTTATTTATTATTACATTAAAATCAAATAATAACAACAATGTTCAAACAATTTTTTGATACATCATTTACTGACTATCGACAAGTTCGAATTGTTGTACAAGAATTACCTAATAATTCATTAAAAGAACCATCATCGGATTTTCAAAAGTAAATTTTATTTTAATTCCGTTCTTCAAAATTAAAATTTATTTTTTGTAGATTTTCCACAAGTCTTTATCGTCATAAAGAATTTACATTTGAAAATTTTAAAATTGAATATTGTTTTGTAAAACAAAGTTTAACTATTGCTGAAGCATCATTAAATGAAATCCAATTATATCGTCGACCATTTGGTTTGATATTTTTTACTGTTTGTCATACAAGTGAAGAATTACGAACTGTACTTGATGAATTTTCTAAAATTAAACAACGAGAAAAAGATGCTTACAAACATTTATTTATTCGTTATAGAACTACAGAGTGTAAGGATGATAATGATGAAATGTCAACTGATGATAAACTTCATAATGAACCTATTGATGAATCGTAAGTAATAAATACATCAAGTAAAATTGACAAAATCTAATATTTGAAAAAATACATATATTATATATATGATTATGATTTAGTTTTAGTGATTATGCAGATTCATCTCGTCCATCATTTTCAAGCTTGGCAGGTACTGAGTCTTATCATTCATTACCTCAATCATTGACATCAATGAAATTAGGACGCTCAATATCAAATGATGATATTGTAAGTATAGCATCTGACTCAATATTGCTTACAAATAGTTTAAATGGTATACCAACGTTTCATGCAAGTGGAACTGATACTCCTCCAGATGATGACGATGATGCAATTGCATCAATTTCAATAAATACCATAACATCAAATGATCAATCAATAAAAAAATCAAAACCATCATTATTTAAAACTAAAACATTATCAACAACAAATATGTTCGATTCATTTGATAGTGATTTAACACGTGCATTATATCGTTTAGAAAATAATCTATCAAAAATTACACTAGAATCTACAAGATTTGATACAATTACATCATCAATTGATTCACAAATAGGTGATATTCGTTTAATGATAAATGATGAAAAAGATTGTACTTTACTTGATAATCAAAGTAAATATCGTAATGGATTTATTAATGATCGTATATTTACATCTGTATTAAATGAATTTGATATGCGTATGATGCAAATATTATTTAATCAATATTTAAAATCAAGTACTATTCTTGGTATTGAAGCAGCAAAAAATAAGTAAAATTTTCAAGAATAAAAAAAAAACAAAAAAGTTGAAAAATTCTTTAAAATTTAGATCATCAAAAAAATTAATTGATACACGAACAATTAAACGTAAAGGTGATTGTTGTTTACTATTAGGTGCAATTGATAAAGGTTATCAAGATTATCATCGTGCTGGAGATGCACTTAAAACTCAAAATGATTCTATGTGGTTTGCAGGTCTGTTGTTTTTTTTTCTTTTGGAAATTTTAATACATATAGAAAAATTCAATATATTCTTTTTTGTTTAGCTGCATTAGAAGGTCGTGTAGCAGCAAGTTATTTATCAACACATAAACCAAAACGTCAAATGGAAAAAACATTAACATTTTTAAAACAAATTTCATTGACTAAAAGTAAGATTTTATTTATTTTTTTATTGAATTTTATTATTTTTATTCTTTGAAAATCTAGAATTACCAGTAGATAAATATTTAAATCGATCAAATACACCATTAAATTTACAACCTAGAATGGAAATGGCTATACAAATTTATCGAACAGCTAATCGTTCGTTATTTAATAAAGCAGAATTTCGACTTGAACTTGATGCTTGTCTACGTTGGTGTAGTTTATTACAAGAACAAACTGATCTTAAAGTATTTATTATTTTATTTCATATTATTGATCTTTTTTTTTTTGTATTTTTTATTAAATAGAAATATCGAGATGATATTAATCAATATATTAATCAAATAAATATATTAGGTTCATATTTAGAAGAACATATTGATAGTGTAAGATAAATATAGAATTTTTATATATGTCAATGAATGTAGAAATTTATATGTATATATATTTTTTTTTAAAGATATATCTAAATGCTTATCTTGCGGAAATATATGCTTTTGTTGGTTGGAAACGAAAAAGTGCATTATATTATCGATCAGCAGCTTTTTCGGGTTTAACATTATTAAGTGAACAACAAGGTTATCATGATGAGATCGATTTTTTTGATGAATTAATTAGAAAAGCTCGTAAAGGTTATGGAATTGATGGTAAAATTTATGAATTGATTTTATTTTTGATTATGATTTTTATATTTATTTATTTAGATAATCAATTGATTTTTCCATTGATACAAAAAACAATTATTAATGAATCAATTCAAATTAGTCTTAAAAAAAATGATTTTACTACTATTATCGAGTTTGTTCTTACTTTTTTTGTCTATTCTCATTACCAGTTACTGCATAGTAGAGTAACGAAGCTTTCGTGAATTTGATTCTTTCGTCAGGGAATAGCTACTGGAGAGAAAATTCTTAGTTTTTTTTTCTATGAAGTTTGATCATAGGTTTTCGAGGCCCAGCAAACTTCATCGAAAAATCAAGTATATAATTTCGAGAAAATCGATTACAAATTTGGATTTCTCGACTTCGAAAGTCTTTGCTAAAACTTTACAAGAGATCGTAATGTTTCTTCAACGGTCATTCCATGACGAAAGAATCACATCCACGAATTCTTCGTTATCAGTTACTGGGTCACGTAATGATAACTTTTCTCTCCTAGATTTTAGTTTAAAGTAAAGAAAAAATTAAATCTTGGATTATCTAGAAAGGTTTTTTTTCGTATCCTATACCTCTTGACCATAAAGCTTATTCTTATTGAAAATATCCTAGGTTTCCTAATTCTAACTTTGAAGATTTCACATCTTCCTATGTCTCTTATTGATCTATTTTTTTCTTTTCGTTATTTTCTTTTTGTATTTTAGGAATGTTCATTTTGCAATTGAATCATTAATTGAATATATGACTGATGCTGAATTAGAAGCACTTTTGACATTTTTAAATGCTAGTGATCAATCTATCAGTTGTTCATATTGTAGTATTCCTCGATTGAAGTAAATCATTTATTTTTACTTAGTTGATTTATTTTGATATTTTTTTTTTTATTTCTTGTTGAATAGATCTCTTGATATTATGCCTTTATCCAATCGATTAAAAGCATGGAAAGCTGAACCAAAAAATAATATATTTATTTATCATGCAAAACGTTCTTTACCTAGTCAACAACAATCTCTTCATCGGAAAGTAGGTATGATATATATTTATTAAATTTTTCTTTTTTGTTTTGAAAAAAAAAATTCTTTGGATTTTGTTGAATTATTTTCTTTTTGTCTCAGATTTTCTTTGGGTAAAAAATGAACAAGCACAAATAAGACTTGTAGTAGAGAATTATTTACCAGAAACAATGTTTATTGATCAATTAGAATTTATAACTGAAATTGAATTATTTACAAAACTTGATAGAAAATATCGTATACCATCACGAACAACAAAATGTTTATTAATTGATTGTATACCAAAAGAAACTGGTCAACTTCGGATACAAGGTTTAAATAAAAATAAT